TATGAATTTCATCAATAATTGTTCTATTTCTTTGAAGAATGACATTGAAATTTTGATTGGAATAGCATTGAATCTGTATATTGCTTTTGGAAGGATGGCCATTTTAATAATGTTTATTCTTCCAATCCACGAGCAGGGGATGTCTCTCCATTTCTTTGTGTCTTCTTCTATTTCTTTTAACAGTGTTTTATAGTTTTCTTTGTATAGGTCCTTTATCTCTTTTGTTAGATTTATTCCCAAATATTTGATTTTTTTTGTTTCAATAACAAAAGGGATGGTTTTTTTGATTTCTTCTTCTTCAGATTTATTGTTTGTGTATAGGAAGGCTACTGACTTTTGCATGTTGATTTTGTATCCTGCCACTTTACTGAACTGATTGATGAGTTGAATTAGCTTTTCTGTGGAGTTTTTGGGGTTCTCTATGTATAATATCATATCGTCTGCAAATAGTGATAGTTTGACTTCTTCTTTTCCTATTTGGATTCCTTGGATGTCTTTCTCTTGTCTTATTGCCCTGGCTAGGACTTCCAGTATTATATTGAAAAGCAGCGGTGAGAGTGGACATCCTTGTCTTGTTCCAGATCTTAATGGAATTGCTTTCAGCTTTTCACCATTGAGAATGATGCTGGCTGTTGGCTTGTCATAGATGGCCTTTATGATGTTGAGGTATGTTCCTTGTATCCCAAGAATTTCAAGGGCTTTTATCATGAATGGGTGTTGCACTTTGTCGAAAGCTTTCTCAGCATCTATTGATATTATCATATGGTTTTTATATTTCTTTTTGTTGATGTGTTGGATAACGTTGATTGATTTTCGGATGTTAAACCATCCTTGTGCCCCTGGAATGAATCCTACTTGGTCGTGGTGAATTATCTTATGGATACATTGTTGGATTCTGATGGCTAAAATTTTATTGAGGATTTTTGCATCAGTGTTCATTAGGGAGATTGGCCTATAGTTTTCCTTTTTAGTGTTGTCCTTGTTCGGTTTTGGTATTAGTGTAATATTGGCTTCATAGAACGTGTTTGGTATTGTCCCTTCCTTCTCAATTTTTTGGAAGAGTTTGTGAAGGATAGGCACTAATTCGTCTCTGAATGTTTGGTAGAATTCATTTGTAAATCCATCAGGTCCTGGGCTTTTGTTTTTGGGGAGGTTTTTGATTACCATTTCAATTTCGCTAATTGTAATTGGTCTGTTTAGGTGTTCTATTTCTTCTTTATCTAGCTTTGGGTGATTGTAGAGTTGTAGGAATTTGTCCATCTCCTCTAGATTATTAAACTTATTTCCATATAACTGTTCATAGTAGTTACTGATTATTCTTTTGATTTCTGCTGTGTCCGTTGTGATTTCTCCTCTTTCATTGATGATCCTGTTTATTTGTGCTTTCTCCCTTTTTTCCTTTGTGAGCCTGGCTAGGGGTTTGTCTATTTTATTGATTTTTTCAAAGAACCAGCTCTTGGTTTCATTGATCTTTTGGATTGTTTTTTAGTTTCAATTTCATTTATTTCTGCTTTGGTTTTTATTATTTCTTTTCTTCTACTGGTTTTGGGGTTTTTTTGTTGTTCTTTTTCTAGATCTTTGAGCTTCGAGATTAGGTTGTTTCTTTGAGTTCTTTCTTGTTTCTTGATGTGAGCTTCTATTGCTATATATTTTCCTCTTATTACTGCTTTTGCTGCATCCCATACATTTAGGATATTGGTGTCCTCCTTGTCGTTCAATTCAAAAAATTTTTTAATTTCTTCTTTGATCTCCTCATTAGTCCAGTGGTCTTCCAGTAGTGTGGTTTTTAATCTCCATGAGGTAGGAAAGTTCCTTGCCTTCTTTTTATGGTTTAGTTCTAGTTTGATGCCTTCATGGTCAGAAAAGATGGTTGGTATGATTTCAATCTTGGTGTATCTGTTGATGTTTGTCTTGTGCCCCAGTATGTGATCGATCCTGGAGAATGATCCGTGTGCGCTTGAGAAAAATGTGTACTCCGTTTTTTTGGGGTTTAGTGTTCTATAGATGTCTATTAAGCCCAATTGCTCTAGGTCCTTATTTAGAGCTTTGGTTTCTTTACTTATTTTTTGTCTTGTTGATCTATCCATTGTTGATAGTGGTGTGTTGAAGTCTCCCACTACGTATGTGTTTTCTCTGATGTCTGTTTTCAGAGAAGACAACAGTTGTCTGATATATTTTGGTGCTCCTTCGTTTGGTGAGTATATGTTAATGAGTGTTATTTCTTCTTGAAGTATTGTCCCCTTGATCATAATGTAGTGACCATTGGGGTCTCTTTTTATCTTTTTGAGTTTGAAATCTGTTTTATCTGATATAAGTATAGCTGTTCCTGCTTTCTTTTTTGGTCCATTTGCTTGTAGGATTGTTTTCCATCCTTTGACTTTGAGCCTATTTTTATCTTTTGTAGCTAAATGTGTTTCCTGGAGACAGCAAAAGGTTGGGTTTTGTTTCTTAATCCAGGCTGCAACTCTGTGTCTTTTTATTGAAGAGTTTAGTCCATTTACATTTAGAGTTAATATTGATATGTTAACATCTGTATTTGCCATTGTGTTTGTCTTTCCTTTGATTTTATTTATTTATTCTTTTAATAACTTTTTTTTTTTTGGCCTTCTTTCATTGTTATTCGTCCCTCTGAGGTTCTGGCTTTAGGACTCCTTGTAGTATTTTTTGGAGTGGGGGTTTAGTTGCAATGAAATTCCGGAGTTTCTGTTTGTCTGGGAAGGTCCATATTCTTTCTTCAAAGAGGAAGGAGAGCTTTGCGGGATAGAGTATTCTTGGTTGGCATCTGTTTTCTTGGAGTCTGTTGACTATGTCCCTCCACTCTCTCCTTGCCCGTAGTGTTTCTTCGGAGAAGTCTGATGTCAGCCTGATTGGCTTTCCTTTGAATGTTATCTGTTTCTTCCCTCTTGCCAGCTTCATTATTTTTTCCTTGTCCTGGATTCTTGGGAGCTTTACTATTATGTGTCTTGCTGTATTTTTTCTTTCGTCGTGGAAGTTTGGTGTTCTTCTTGCTTCTTGTATATCAATTTTCAGCTCCTTCTTCACATTTGGGAAGTTCTCTTCAATTATCTCTTTGAATATTTTCTCTGTTCCTACTTCTCTCTCCTCTCCTTCTGGTATTCCTATAACTCTTATATTTCCTTTCCTCATGGAGTCAGATAGTTCCCGAAGTCTTTCTTCATTCTTTTTCCTTCGTACTTCTCTTTCCTTTTCTGTTTTGGTTCTTTTTATTTCTGTGTCTTCAAGAGCACTTATTCGTTCTTCCATTTCATCAATTCTGCTTTCATTGCTTTTCCCAGAATTCTTTAGTTCTTCCACTAATTCTTTGATCTCCTGCATTTCTTTTACTTCCCTCTTTAGGGACTCAATTTCATTCTTCTGATCGTTGATTATTTTTCCCTTATCATTGTTTTCCTTTATGACTTCTGTCAGTTTTTTAATCACGGCAATTTTAAATTCTCTTTCTGGAAGGCTCAGAAGTTCTTCCAAGTTACTGTCGTTGCAATCTGGGGGCTGGTTTTCTTTTTGTGGTGTGCTTTTTCTCTGGAGAGTTGCTAGGTTGCGTGTGGTTCTTCTCCTCCCTACTGTCTGTTTTCTAATTTGCCGTATGCGTTGGGACACTGTGTTGTTGGGACTGGCCGGCATCTTGGGTGGGCTTCTCTTCTCCCCTCTGGTTCCTCCTGGAGTCATCTGTCAGTTTCAAGCAGTCTTTATTGGAGAAAGGTCCCTGTCCTAAAATGTCGATGTGGGGACACACTCCCCTGTGCGCCTGGTCTGCCCCGGCGGTGGGTTCCTGCTCCCCCTCTGGGCTTGGACTGCAGGCCAGAGGGGGTCTGGTGTGGGCGAACTTCCCCCGCTCACCTCTGGCTCCTGAGGAAGCCTTCTGCAGGTAGTCTTTACTGAAGAAATGTCCCTGTTCTAAAATGGTGATGTGGGACACACTCCCTGCGCGTCCGGTGTCAGGCACACTCTTCTGCGTGCCTGGTCTGCCCTGGCTGTGGGTGCTCGCTCTCCCTGTGGGCTCAGACTACTTGTTCGGAAGGGGCTGGGTGTGGGCTAATTCCCCAGCTGGCCACTAGTTCCTTCAGGAGCCTGTGCTGTCTACAAGTCGCTAGGTGGCGCCAAAGGTCTCTCCTAGAGCCCTTGGGGAGCTGATTTTCCACGCCGTGGGACAGGGAGCAAAGCGGGGATGGTAGGGTACACCTCAACGGCTTTGGGGTGCTGTGTCTGCCTTGTGCCCCACCGTCGTGGGGAACCCACGCCCCTAATTTCGTGCCCCGGGTCTCAGTTCAAAGCCCTCAGTTCCAGGACGCGGGCTGTAGCCCAGTTCAGTGGCGCGGGAAGGGCGCCTTTTGCACCGCTCCCGTGCCTGGGCGCCTGGTTCCTGCTCACTCAGGGAGGGACCTTCACCTCAGTGAGGACCTCCGCGCCTCCCCGCAAGCCTAGGTCGTCTCCCAAGCCTAGGTCGCAGGCGCAGGGACCTGGGCAGCCGCGATCCTGGTCTGCACTTGCTTTTCAAGCGCGCCGAGCGCGCCGCTATCCGCGCCAGCTTACCGGCAGCCCGGGCTGTGTGCGCGTCTCCCGGGGTCTTTGTTCTTCTCTAATGGCGCCCGGAGCCGTTCGCTCACCGCCGCGGCGAATCCTGCAGGGTTCTCCACAGCTCCCGTTCACGGGGTGTGGTGGCTGAAATAGTTCCTTTCCACTCACAGTCCCGCTTGCTGCGTCCGTTTTTCTTGTTGGCCGTTTTGGTTTGTTGTTTCCTCCCCTCTGCCGGTCGGAGAGTGCCGCCTCTGTGGGCGGGGGAGGGGAGCAGGGTTCTGTGCTTCCCTCCCTTCTGGTCCTCTTTTATGATAACTAGCTTTTCAACCTAATTTTAAAATCCCTATTTATATACTACATATACTAAATATACATACACATATTAGATGAATTTATTGCAAATATGAAATTATTCTGAACTATGTGTAGTCAACTAATCACTGTGCATACTGTTTTCCTTTTAGAAAAATAAAGAATCTGAAAGAAAAAGAATACACCAGATTTCCTAACAAAACAGTAAGTAATTTAACAAAATGAATATACTATGACAGCATCTATAAAGTGAGAAGATCTGACAAATTCATGAAAATGTTTACTATTCTTTTTTAAGATAAAAATTAGCACAGTAAGCAACTGGAGTCTACTTAAACTCAATTTCAGTTTTCTGGAATAATGTGAAAATCATTTATCCTATAATCCTCTTAGATAAGAGGTAAAAGTAATCCTCATGATACATCAGTGTGGCAGAAAATGTTTATCTTGACTCCATAATATCTTTCGACTAGCATCATATTTTAAATTCTAAAGAAGAAATAAAGGTATAAATAAAATTTAATCAAAGTACCTAACATTTCCTATATTTGATACAAAATTCATTTTTTAACAAGCCTTTAAACAACTTTGACATGCTTGATTTTTATTAAATGAGCTTTGTTAATGCATTCCTGATACCATTGCTTATAGAATTGTTAATATAACGATTTCCTAAGTAAAAACAATTATAAATTTGAATATGTGAATATAAAATAAAGTTGGAATAGAAAAACTACATTAATGATCCATATGGCATCATTTTTAATACTGCGCCTAATCCAAACACATTTGCAAGTGAAGATCTTTAAAAGTTAAAACAAGTGTTAAATTAAATGTAGTGAATTAGCAAAATAATAAATTTGCATTTTGATATACATCAAAATAGAAAAAAAGCTCATTGGAAAATATCTAAGCTTGATATGAAAAAGGAGAAATTCACAATTAAGTTTTCTAGGATACATGCTAATTTCACTTACATAGAAACATTTTATATCCCCCAAAGAATTGTGATGCATATAACACATTTTAATTTTAAATGATTTAATATAATTAATTATAGCTATGATGATATAAATGTAATTTATCTTAAATCTGTTTTATTTATATTTGAAGTCTAAGTGGAATATGGAGAAATAAATGTTTCATAGATATCATTTCTGTGCAACTTCATTTCACACAAAGCACCAACTCACTTTTTGCTTTTGTTGTGGATGGCCATACACTTTAAATGTAAATCAGTGATTTATAAAATCCAAAATTCATTAACTTTCAAAAAGTATCCCTTTGATTTAAAAAATTCCAAAAACTTAAGATGTTGTTTTGAGGTGGAAAAACTGGTTATGAACATGGTTACATAGTTCTGATGTAACGAAGGTGATGTAACAATCAGGTATTTCTTACATTAAAAATAAGCAAAACTGCCAATTTCAGTAATTGCAAAATATGAATTGTGGTTTGGGACAGTTTCAACTATTTTCTTTTATGTAACAACTACATGGTCAATCATTCAACTGAGAAAAATGATTCAATTCAAGCCCTAATAATAATAAAGCATATTACCTAAAAATTTTGAGACCATTTATGAAGATGAATACTCTGAATTAAAATATTATCAAAACAGGGCCTCCCTGGTGGCGCAGTGGGTTGAGTGCCGTGCTATGAAGCTGCCCACAGCCTCTGCAGCACGGGTTCGATTCCCGGCTGGCCATGGAGATTCCCACATGGCGCGGCAAACCTCTCCTGTCGCACCCGCTGCTCCCCTCAGCAGTGTCTTCAGTCTTTCTGCCTGTTCTGTTCCCTGCTCTGTCTCTGGCGAATTCTCTCACCCTCCCGTGCCTCTGACTGTACCCCAGTTCTTATATAAATAAATAAATCTTTTAAAAAAATATTATCAAAACAAATCTCTTAATATATGTCTTAGCTTCCAAATAGTTCATGAGTTAGGGGTACCAATACATGAGGTTAATTGTGATACAAATTCAAGACAATGGATAATACAGTGATTACTTGTCTTGTCTTTACATATAGCTTATTTGTTTGTGTTGGAAATTCATGAATACTGATTTGTACAGTCTGTATTTGAATCACACCTTACAAATAAAGGATTTTCAGCAAGGAAGGTCATGCAAACCTATAATTTCACCTCAAATTCCATAGCTTAAAAATTACTGGGTTCTTGATTAAAATATTACTGAAGATTTTTAGAACCCATTGCACTTATATTTCACACAAAGTGTTGTGCTCAGGAAACATAGGGGGAAAAAACTATTGGAAATTGTATTTTTAAATAATACAATAATTTCTCTATCACCAAATACTCAGTGGTATTTTCAATAATTCTGAAAGTAGACTCTCTATAGAAACTGAATATACTAGATACTAATAATAACAAAGAGGATACATTAAGAAAAATATTCAAATACTCAGGCATGCTTTCTGGAAACTATTCACATTATCCGAGATTTGCTAAGCCTCTCGAAATACTACTGGGAGTTGTTCTCTCTCAAAGTGGGACTATTATTAACAACCTCACTTTCCTGGCACACAATATAGAGAAAGAAGTTTTCAGTAAGAACTGTCCTAATGGAGAAAAGATTTTGCCTAGAAAAGCATTTCATGACTCAATAGAGAATAAATATTATTTACAAATATTCCTCGAAAGTTCCATTTAGTCAAACCTGCCTCTATTAGAAGCAACAAATCCCTGTAATCAAACAGTAAAGATGTATGTGTGTGTGTGTGTGTAACTGTGGCATAAAGCTAGGAAAAGAATCATGTATCTTGTCTAATTTGATAAACATTATACTCTCTAATATCATCATTTATAGAAGGCCAAATAAGAAGTCATTGATGCTCTCACACTTAGAAGTATCAAGAAAGTCTGACATAATTAACCTCCCACTATTTTTTCTATCTGCCATAAAAAAAAAAAAATGAGGGTCTTAGAATGGTTCAAAAAGCCTCTGCTCAAAAATGAAACTTACATTCTTTCTTTCAACCAAACTCTAATGAGATTGTACATAAATAATTTGTTGCCTAGTCTCTACCTGCCTAAAACTTTATTTGTATCTAGTCATTGCATGAAGTTTATAGTGGAAAGATTTATATATGCAGAGAGAGACAATAAGGGAACCTGAGACTAAGTCTTGGCTTCTTTCAACTCCTTCTGTCAGTGAAGACTACCAAACATAGGGGAACCTCACAACATTCAAGATCACAGTTAAAAAACTAATGGATATTAACAGTATATACAGTCTGGTCTATCAACTTATCTCTTTGGGTACTGGTTTTCCCATCTAAATAACCAAAAAAAAAACCTACCCAATTTACTCCCAAGACTTCTAATCAAATTGGATTTACAGTATTCCCTGAAGTGATGTTTAATTATAAATTTAGGTTATTTTTATTAAACATTTATATTAATACAAAAATAACTTTCTCTTGCGTGAAAATTTGCAACTACACTTTGGGAACCCATTATATCATATGACAATAGTGAGTTGCTAATGAAAGCTACGTTTTTCACTGATTTGTTTTAGATGATAATGGTCACTCAGAAAAAAATTCCATTTCCTTGAATGTTTACTTTAACCTCATTTATTAGTTTACTTATCAAAAAAATTCCACCTAAATTATCATGGATTTTATAGATGAAAATGATAATATTAAAAACTTTATAAAGTTAGCAGATAGTAAGCAGCATTTGAACTCTGTCTGAACACACCTTTTCAAGTTATTCCTCTTAACTAAACATTTCACATTGAATGAAGTAAAGCATATTTTACCTTCCTACATAAATGTCAGCCTGGTGGAAAGAGGTAGAAGCAATATATTTATATATATATATATATATATATATATATATCACTTTTTGAAATATCAGTCTAGGCAAAATACTTATTTTATATACAATTTTAGTTTTCTTCACCAGTTCCCAATAAACATTAGATTGCACCATGCATATTTGTTCCTCATATGTGAACATTAAGCCATAGCAGGAGAATTATTAAAGACAGATATCTTGAGCTACAAAAGGCAGAACCAAAATTGAAGTGGATGATAGCCTTAAGTATACTAGGCTACCTTTTGTTTGTAAAGCACATAACAATAAAATAAAGACTTGAGTATGTGCTTCTTAAGTTTTATGCTCTTTCATCTGGATTTATTTCCTTTAAAATCTTTGGTAAAACTTTTAAAAGTCATCCCTACATTAATTCTTCATTATTTAACAGCTGCTACTGAGAACCTACTGTGTACCTTGTCCTACATGTTGGAGATGTAGGAGTTAAAAAAAAACAAACACAGCCTCCTTCAATTAGCAATTTCTCACTATTTAGAGTAATGTATTAGAATGAACAAATTGTAAATATTAGAATAAAGAGAAAGTAGTCCTTGACTACAATACTAAATTATCTATTCAATATCTGTCAAGCTACTTATCTGATTAACTGTGTGACTGAGAGCTTTGTGACTTTCTTTGCAACACTGGGTTAGATGGTTTCCCACAATCAATATTATTCATGATAGAGCTAGTTAAAATGATATTTCACAACTTAGGGAATGTCCTAGAACACTATAGGATATGTCTTCTCTAATCATATTATAGCCCACTACTAGCTTTGAAAACTGAATTCAAATTCTAGCTCCACCACTTAATAACTACAGGACATGGGACAATTTAGTAAAGCTCTATGTGTTTTGATTTGTTCATTGATTGTGATAATCAAGAGTTACAGATACACGGTTTCTTTCCTCCTTCCCTCCTTCCCTCCCTCCGTCTTTCCTTTCATGTATCTTGTAATCCTTACACACACTACTGACAATTTTATTTTTTTTCCTATTACAAATTATGAAAAATCTGCTTCTGCATATGCTCCATTGGACATTTGAGCAATTAGTTAGCCTAAATTGCTTAACCCTATTGTTTTTATTTTTCACTTTCAATGGAATTCTGGCAAAGCCTGTGTTTATGAAATGGTACCAATAGTTTCAAACCGAGGAAATAACATCTCTAAACAAATGCTCAAAATACATTGCTTTGCTAGCTCATATGACCCCCAAAGTGATTTGGTACAAATTTTCAACCATCTGAAAATGCAATGTAAGAAATAATTCTTAGCAGCAGATTTGCAATTTTGACAGGGATTTTGCTTATCCATTGTATTATTGCATGTAACATTGACACACTGCACAGTAGCAGCTGC